TTCATAATTACTGAGTATTTTTCTTTTTTGTGTAAATTAGCCGATACTAAATTCATAAATGAATACTGTCGCCACAAAACGATACTATTTCATAATTACTGAATATTTTTCTTTTTGATGTGAATTAGCCGACACTAAATTCATAAATGAATACTTTCGTCACAAAACGATACTATTTCATAATTACTTAATATTTTCTGTTTGATGTAAATCAGCCGATACTAAATTCATAAATGAATACTTTCGTCATAAAACGATACTATTTTTTAATTAATGAGTATTTGTCTTTTTATGTGAAGCGAATTTGAAATTAGTATCCAAAAACTATTATTTTAAACTTTTCAAAATATTGAAAATGATACTGATTTAACGCATTAAATATAGGCGATAGAATTTATCATAATATGTAATTCGTTCTGTAGAGAGTTTCAGATATTTCTTGCACTTATGTTTGATTTTGCTAAAAAGTACTCAATATTCGATACTGAGTAGTATCGATACTTTTGCCACAATACTTTTTTGGTATCGATATTTTGCCTCGATTCTTTTTTCAGTACTCGGTATCGATACTTTGCCTCGATACTTCTAACACTAACATCAAACAAAGAAAAGGCCTCAAGAACTCACTCATACATATATATATTATATATATATATATATATATATATATATATATATGACCCGACCCGACAGACGTTGTTCTGTACCCACGTTTACAATTTTACAATATTTTATACTAATATTTACTGCTTAGTTGAAAATAATAATTACTGTTTTTTGAATTACTATTTACACCAATATATGAGTGATGTTGAATGTAGAACTGTTTCAAATAAAATGATTCTTCTCAATTCCCACAGTTATCACTTTAATTATTCATTTAACAAATATTAAAAAATGTTCAATAAAATTGTATATTAAAAATTATACACTGCAATTTATAGAATATATATGCGGCATAATACTATATAGCATAATTTTGTTGATCGTAAGTTGAGTAGAGCACATGTGAACAGGATTTGACAAATTAATTCACTTCAAATATAAACTTAAGCAATAATGTATATTGATTTATTAGTGAAAAAAATGTAATTTAGATATTAAAATTACTAAAATCCAGTTAAAATATGGTACAATATTATAAAAATTATAGGCAACATTATTGAAGCAATTATTTTGGGTGTGATATTGCACATTTGCCGCGAATGCTATATAGTAATTCTTTCTGAATTTGTTGTACGTATTTTTTAAAAGATTTCAATTTTCAACACGTGTATCTTATGCTGTGACATAAATCACAAAGGCAGACGATCATTTTTAGTGTGATAAATTTGGAAAATCAATGTTTTAGTCGTGAATAAACAAAAAATCATTCATTTATACATCCACATCTACAGGTGTGACTAAAAATACTATATAACCCTTAAATGCAATAAAATAAATTGAGCTATTGGAAATTTTGTTCTATAAATCGCAGTGTATAATTTTTAATATACAATTTTATTGAATTTTTTTTTAATATTTGTGCTCTGTGATTTTTTTTACTGTGCTCCAAGTTACTTGATATTTTGGAAATAGGCTAATCTTTATCTTAAGTTCAGAAGTAAAAACAATTTGCACTCCGTCATCATCCACAGCATTAATTGGATTATTACTCTTTTAATTCTGATTTTATCAGAACTTGTAATACACTATTTTAAAGGTGATTAAATGAGGTACAACTTTCTTTATCATAAATTTTACCGTAACTTCTCTTATTGTGAAACGGCGAAGGGTTAAAGGGCTCGAAAGACCTCTGGTTGGACAGCCGCGCACTCTTTAAACAATCATAACTCTATCAATATTTGTATAATGGAAAAATAATAAACAACAATAATGAGTCAGAAAAATACCTCGAATGTTCATATATATATACTTTTATACGTATTCTTTCAGAGATATTATAATGAGAAATTGGATGTTTTTTTTAATGTTTTTTTTTTATGAAATCATGAGTTTTTTAAAAATCGTTTGTACTAAAGTTGTGGTATTTTCTAGAATCCAGCAAGATCTCTTAAACCAAGTTAATTCTAGATGGAATACGATTATTTTTAAATTTGGTGGAAATGGCACTGAAAAACTATTTTATTTAAATGAAAAAACATTATATGCGTCTTTTATTTGCATGATAGTTTACTCATTTTAACGCAGAAGTACTCATTTTAAAGCTTATTTTGAGCACTATAAAAACCCATTTTTATATCTAGCCTAATAATGTTCCTAAAACACTATAAAATAGCGATTTATTAAGATTTTAATTGATATAATTTTGTTCATTACATGATTTTCGTTAAAATGTATATTTTTGAAGATATTAGCAAAATGATGAAAAACGTAGAAAAGAAACAAATTTTCAGTAGCCAGTAACTTGAAAAGTATTTGTTTTTTTAAAAAACATTATTAAACATTTTTCTCTTATAATTAGTTCTTTTATCGACCAAACGTTATTTTGAAAAAAAGTAAAATTACACCACTGAAAAGAAATGTCATCCACCCGAGAAGTGGTAAAGGAGTCTAAATTGTTTTCACTTCTGAAGAGCAAAATGAACCTAGTTCCAAAATTCCAAACGAAATGGAAAACAGTAAAAAAAATTCAGACCGAAAGCGCTTCATTGAGTAAATATTCCGTACACAATGACAATAATATGAATTTTTGACACAATGAAACTTCTAAATATTTTTTTTGTATTGTGACTTTGTATAGTAAGGCAAAACGACTGCAAATTGAATATTTTTGAGCGCAATCACTTATGGCTCGTCTCCTTTGCACGAATTCGTACGGCGAATCTGTTCGCAAAGTGCGCAGACAAAATGATGCATGCGCAGACTGCATCACTTGTCACATGCATGTTATATTATTTTCATCTTATATTAATTTAATTTTTGGCACATCTCAGCTGCTTTTCGGCATTAATAATGTAGACATTACAATTTTCTTTTCATAATCATGAATTTATTATATTTTAATATTGCCTTAGCCTATAAGTGAATTGAAATGTTTGGCAAATGACAGTCTTCAATTGTTTTTAATGTCAAACTAAGCTTCAAAATATTTTCAAGGGCAAACAATGATAAGCGGTTTTTTGTAATTTTTTCCATTTATTTCTACAATCTAACTATATGAATCAAAACATTCTAGAAAATTTCCCGAACAAATTTCAGGAAGATTCATAAAAATTCGGATTATAGTTTAGGAGGATTAATGAAACTTACATTGTTACAGAAGAAAATATATAAGATATATATATATATATATTAATTTTTTTATATAATTTTGATGTTGAAATATGTGATATTCAGTTTTCAGGGCAATACATCAATTAAAAAATTTGTATGACTTTAAAACATTTTTATTGTTTCCATACGTTTCGACACATTGTTTTGTGTCATCTTCAGTGGACTATGTAATTGAATTAATTCTAATTATTTCATAATTATAATTGTTCACAATGCACAATAAAACCAATTTTTGTCACTTTAAAATGCTATATTCAAAATCACTGTTTATAGTTTTAAATCTAATTAAAAATCAATGTTTATAAATTTAAATAAAAGTTGACATTGAAGAACGTGAATTGACATTGGCGGGGCTAGTTGAGCAAATTTTTACTTAAACGGATGTAGCTCCTCAATGAAAAGTCTCAATAAAATGCTATACGGCTTAATGGATTTATTGTTTATCGCTTAACAAAAGTGTTAATACTATTTTTTGGTAGTAAGTAAAATTTAAAAGTTACAGCTGTTTAAATGCAAAAAGTCAAGTATGCTCAATGTACCCCATAGGTGGGGCTAAGAAAGTATAATGAAATCATAGGTTTTTTTTTTATTAAAATGGCCTCGTTCTATACAAACATTTTAGCCAATACATATTACAAAATACAATAAATTACAAAATATTACTTCTGTATGAATATACAAAAAACAAGAAAAATTAATAATAATAACGTATCATCATTAACTTGATTTCCATAAGTCACTACAATTTTATGTTACAATCATTCATGAAATCCAGCAACACTTTATTTATTCCTATATTACTCTCACTAATAATGTGTCTTGCATTTACTGGAAATTGTACTTTTAGCTGTTGTAGTCTTTTATACATTTTTTTCCGTTCATTTTTATATAATTTGCATTTCCAAAATATGTAGTCCAATGTATCTAATATGATACTACAAGCACAAAATGGATCTTCTTTGATACCGATTCTGAATAGATGACTGTTATTCCTTGTGTGTGATAGCCTTAGTCTACATTAGTTGTTATTTCTCTCCTGTTCCATTTCATATTTTGAAACCATGTCCTTCTCGATACCTTCGGGTTACAAGGTTGGTAAAGTCTTCCTTTCAAACGTGAGTCTTGATCGAATACCTTTTGCCATTGAGTCATTCCATTTTTTGTAACAATTCCTTTAAGGTCTACTGCAGGAATTTTATTTACAATAGTGGATGTGCTATGTGCATCTTTGGCCAGTCCATCCGCGATCTCATTTCCGATGATATCCGCATGTCCTCTTATCCATATTAATTCAATATTATGCTTCTGTTTAATTAAATCTTCTATCTTTCTAATACTGTCGAAAATTAGTGGATTGCCAAAATACTTAGGTATATTTAAAGCGTGTAAAGCAGATTTACTATCCGACAAAATTATAACTTTTTCCAATTTATGTTTCTTGATTAGGTCTAATGCTCCATTAATGGCCATCACTTCCGCCGTGAATATTGTAGCCCAGTCGGGTATTTTAATTTGAAGTTGATTATTTTGACTTGGGATCCAAACTGCGCATCCAACCCCATTTTCTGTCTTTGACCCGTCGGTATATATTTGAACAAAATTTTTCCATCTTGAAAGCATTAAATTGTTCAGTTTCAGATTTATTAATTTCTTGTCTATCTTCTTTTCATTATCGAAATTATCTGATAAATGTATATACTTTTTAGGTAACGTGCCTTTCCAAGACATAGTGAAGTATGTAAATCTGTTATTTACCATCATTTCTTCTTCTAGTGGTTTAATTGGGTATGAAACCCAGCAATTAAAGGTGGTATTGGTTTTTTATACCAGAATCTATTTTCAAAATGCAGAACTGCAAGTGGCTCTAAACAATTGTGTATCCATGCATGATCATAATTAAATGTTTTAATCAAAAACCTGTTAGTTATAACCTGTCTTCTTATCTCTAAAGGAGCTTCTGCAGCTTCAGCCAACAACGAATTTGTATGTGTCGACTTCAGTGCTCCCAAGCATATTCTTAAAGCTGCATATTGTATTCTATTTAGTTTATTCAGTAACCCTTTAGAACTCCCTCCATAAATTTGACACCCGTAGTCGAAGTGGAGTCTAATAACGACTTTATATAACGAGAGACAGACACTAGGATATGCACCCCAAGTGGTGCCACTTACTCGTTTGAGGATATTGATTCCTTTTTCACATTTAGCTAACATTTCGTTAACGTGTTTGTTAAAAGTTAATTTTGTATTCAATATCATTCCTAGAATTTTGATGTTCTCCAATATATTAATTTGAATCGTGTCTATATTTATACTAATGTAATTTCTCGGAAGCCTATGCCTAGTAAATATAATGCATTTAGACTTTTGAGGTTCAAGTGTGAGTTTATTGTCCCGCATCCATTCTTAATCTTTTCTTAAAGAGCTGTTCATTTCATCACTACATTCCTGTAATGATCGCGAAGAAATATACATGACTAAATCATCTGCATATTGTAATTTTTTCACTTTTGTCCCTTCTGTCTCTATGAAATCCGACGTATAGATGTTAAATAATATAGGACTTAAAATCGAGCCTTGAGGGATACCATTATAAGATATTCTTGGACCTATAAGTCGATTCTGGTTCCTAACATAAATCTTTCTATCGGATAGAAGTGACATAATAGTGTTAGTAATTTTGATTGGAATATTTGATTTTGTTAATTTATTTTTGAGTATTTGGTGATCTACATGATCATAGGCTTTTTCTACATCTGTCGTAACTAATAGAACATATTTGTTTTCTGTCAACGCGCCATATAGATCCACAAGGAGTTCGCTGAGTAAATCAATCGTGCCTTTTCCTCTTCTGAAACCAAATTGATATTTATTTAATATTGAATTCTTTTCTATATGCCATTCTGATCTCTTTTTTAAAATACTTTCAAATATTTTTGAAAGGCAGGGTAGTAACATTATTGGTCTATAGGATTTATAATCACCAGGATCTTTCTGTGGCTTTAGCATGGAAACTAATACCGCTCTTTTCCACTCTTCTGGGATCCAGTTTGACAGCAATATATAATTGTACATCTCAATTATTAGGTTTTTTAATGCTTTAGAGCTTTTGCTAATCATGATATATATTGTGTTGTCAAATCCCGGAGAGCTGTCTCTTTTCTCCTTTAGCGCCAGTTCAAGTTCCTCATGTTTGATGCGGTCATTAATTTCTTCGTGTTTATTGTCATCAATCCAGTCTTCCGGCCGTACTTCATTATATAGCGCAGGTCCAGGAACAAAATCGGGAGTATGAGTCTTAAGATTTTGTTTATATTTGTATTCATATTGAACGAATTTATTAACTCACGCCATTTTTCTCTTTTCTTTGTTTTAAACAGTCGTTTAGTTTGTGTTATTGCTTTTTATAGACTCAAGTAATTTTCGTAGTTAAATTCCTTTCTTAGTTTCTTAAAGGCTTCGTTTCTTCTTCTTGTTTGAATCTCACAGTCTTTGTCCCACCATATGGCCGGTTTAAAGGTATCCGATACTTTATATTGTTTAATGTGCTTTGCTGCCGCCTTATTTATGGTATCTTGGATAAACTTATATTTTTCTTCGCAGTTGTAAGGAATTGTTGAAGTCTCCAGAATATCTTCAATCTCTGATCCATATTTTTCCCAATTTGCTTGTTTTGTGTTCCATTTTCTACCAGGATACCAACACATACTTGTATTAAATTTGCAATGCAACTTTATTATAATTGGTAGATGATCAGAGCCAATACTTTCAGGAATTACACTTCAATGAATCCTGTCGTGAATATATGTCGAGCAAAAGGAAAGATCAATGGCGGTAGATTTTTTCTTAATAGTTTGTATTGTTGTATGAGTTCCATCATTCAATACAACTAGGTTAAGACTATCTATAATATCATACATTATAGCCCCTCCTCTATCAATTATTTCGTTTCCCCATGCTATGTGTTTACTATTGAAATCTCCGGTGACGATCAGTCTAACTGGAATTTGTTCAATAAAATTTTGGATTAAATATAAATCTTTTGTGGCTTGAGGTGAGCAATATATAGATACCACGCAAAAGGGGGTTGTCGATTTAATTATAACTGCAGTCATTTGGATGTCCCGGTTGTTCTGAGAATGTCTGAATTCCTCACAGGTAATACTGTTTCTGATCAGTATGGCTGAGCCACCATAACCATCCTGTCTGTCACTTCGAAATATTTTATAATCTTTAAAGTTAAATTTTTGTCCTTGTTTCAGCCAAGTTTCTGCTAGAGCAGCAATATGAATTTTCTTATGGTACATCAGGCTTTCTATGCTTTCCTTGTTTCCAAGTAATGACCTACAATTTAGTTGAAGTATGTTAAAATTGTCCATGTTTGTTTATTAGTTTTTAATTTACAGATGCTATCTAAAGGTACTCTTCTATATCATCTACCTCCCGTTAGAATTATTCTCACATCCTTTGTTATGTTCTTGACTTACATTACTTATGTCTTTATCTGTTTTATTAGGTTTAAATATTTACCAATAGTGTGGATATCGTATTTCAGATTATATATAATTTCCTCTAATTCTTTACAATCTTTGTTTCTCTCAGATTCTATTTTTTCCCTTAACTTCATTGCCAGTTCTATGAAGTGATTTAGTTGTCTTTTATTTTCTTCAATCTTATTCGTTTTATTACAGTCCACGCCATCTTTTTTCTCTTCATTATCGCTATCGTTATCTTCCTAATTATTCGGAGTTTTCCACTCAGTATCGTCTTTGTTTATTTCCCTCCTTCTATCGTAGTATTCTTTTAAATTTCTTCATCTGTGTCTTTCTTCAATTTTTAATATCGTTTGCTTATCACGAGGTACTTCGTTTTTCTCACTCCTGTCGTGTATTATGGGTTTTTGTGTTGTGTTATGATAATTATTTTTGTATCTATTTCGCTCCTGTGCGCTGTGTGGGTTTCCCGTTATTTTGTCGACATTGCTATGATTTGTACTGCTTATGTTATTGTTGTTTCTATATGCCAATTTAGGTACCGTTCTTGTTGGTCTTATGATTTCTGGATGTTGATATATTTCTGTATATTTTTCTATCTGTTCGTCAGGCAGATCGGGAAAACTGATTTTGTTTTTAATTTCTACATCTGGTCTTATGACATCAGCATATGTTTTATTGTTTAATATCGCCTTGGCTTCCCTAAAACTTATATTATAGTCGGTCATTATATTTTTTACTTTGATGTGATATAAGTATTTACCACATTTTTTGTCTTTTGTCTGATGCTCTTCCTTGCATAATGCGCATGTCGGAGAATTTTCTTTGTTTTCACAGTCCTTATACTTGTGTTCGCCTGAACAATGACCACACCTTGTTTTACCCTTACACTGATTGGTCACGTGGCCGTAATTTTGGCAATTAAAACATTGTGTAATTTTATTGTATTGTTCGACCCTGAATTTGACTGCATATATCGACACACGATCAGGTAATTGTTGTCCCCTGAAGGTTATTATACAAGTTTTTGTAGGCACTAATTTATTATTTTCTTTTTTATTTATTCTTTTTAAATCTAAAATTTCAACATCTGATTTTATATCTTCTCTTATCTCTTGATCTGTCATATCAGCGTCTATGCCGTGTATGACACCCTTCCTAATTAGTAAGAACGTGGGAATATATGCTCGCAATTTGTTTTTAACGAACACCTCGTCCTTAATAATATTATTTGCTATATTATAGTTATTAAATATAATTTTGATTCTGTTTTTTCCTATGGATCTTATTTCAATTATATCATGTTTGTATTGTGGAAAGTTTTTAAGCATAAGCTTGCCTATTGCCATTTGGTGTACCACTCCATTGTTTATATTTTCGGATTCCACGTAGATAATGAATGGTCCTATATCTCTGTTTGAGTAGGTCAAATTTTTGTATTTATTATTATATGAATTTTTATTTATATCATCATTTTGGCTAATTTCTTTTATGGGTTCATTAATTTCTAAATTATCTTGATCTTCTAATTCTAAATCCATATTTTTGTTGCTATCTATTTCTGTACTAATATTTTCTTTTTCCATACTTTCATCCCAATTTGTTTCCGACTCTTCCGAGATATCTTCACTAGTCTTGTTAGAAGTTTTAACATTTTCTAGTTTTTTAGAAGTATTTTTTAATCTTTCCGTCACTTTTTTCATTTTAACAGTTTTAACACTTTTAATTGATTTATTTAATATATTAATACTAACACTTTTTTTCCACTATGTAGTTTATTGCCTAAATCACTTAATTTTTTAGAATATTCACTTTTCTTGTTAATTAAACTATTATAACATTGTTGTATTGAATTTAAATCTTTATTATAATATATTTTCATTGCATCAGCAATGCTTGTTCCTAAGTTACTGATTCTATTAACATTGTACTGAGGCGGTGATGACTCACCGTTCTCACCGTACTCACCACTCTCCATATCTTATCTATATATGTCACTCAAAATTTATTTTTAATAGTTGTTAACTGTTCGGCGATCAAATCGAAACTGGAAATCATAGGTTCAATATCGATTAGTGATGAAATAAAATAAGTTTTTAATAACCAGTTCTATATTTATAGTTTTTATTGACAGAGAAAACAAAATTAATAGTAATTTTCTTTGAATAATTAACCAAAAGTAGAATCAACAAAACAATATTGTATCTTAGGATTTATTTTACTATTATATTCAGTA